TACTGTATGGATTTTATAGATGCTTTACAGCATATGTAGAGTTTTGACTAAAAATATTAGAACCACTTCTCAAGGTACTTCCTTGGCTTGATGGAAGATGGAGTTTTAATTAATAGAGACAGCTCCAGAGAGTTTTCAATACTCTATTTTCACTGTATTAGACACATTTAACAAAAACCACCAGTACTGCACAAGCTATTACAAGAATTCTCTTACCCTATATATTTTAGTTGTAGATGTTACTTGTTTCACATCCTGGCTGTCATTATCTTCGTTGACTGTCTGATCTGGGGGCTGCTTCACATTTTTCCGTAGTCTTTTTGACTTGCACTGTATCTCAGTTAACAGACCTAGAACACATAATCCAACACAAAGCAATTTGATTTATATATGCCTCAGGCACTGAATAAGTACATAAGCATGTCCGTGAGTGCCCTTTACACCAACAAACCTGTTTACCTGTGCAGATAATTTCTTGAATGTGTCATTATCTTTGGATGTGAGTCTAATGAGTCATGCTGTGTACATGCTAATGAGTAGTCTAGCCCAGATGGAGCTCATCTGCAGAGCAAGACAGTTGTTTATGGTGACCCAGCATCCACACAATGAGCATGTCAGGGGTCTTGCTTTGGACCAGCTCTAATCTATTCTTACAGACAGAAAACCTGTTAGTGATGTGAGTGAGCTGGATTATGCTTTTGGTTTAGTTTTAGACAAAAAACCCCACCCCTTCCTATGCTCTAAGACTGGAACCAAAGTGCAATGAAATAGGAGCAATTGGAAGACAGTCATCAGAGGTGTGCTCCTCATCTGCTCCAAAACAGCAATCCAGGTGCATCTGTTTTTAGACAAAGGGCACTGGATATTTTCAATAATATTTAAGCAATATTATGTCTATTGTGCAGAATCTTCAGACAGAAAGCCCACTCAGAAGAGTGGACTCAGGGCTTTAGCCACTACTGTGTCACTACACAGATAAACCAAGAGCTAAATATGAAGAGCCAGAAGTAACTCAGACTGACAAAGGTACCTTTAAAATGTATTTATTTAAAACTTTAGGAGCTGGTCTTGTTGTTTTGCTTTTCAGTGTATTAGAGGACTGTATAAAGCCCTGGCTTTGTCACAGAGTTTCTCTTGCCCCAGTGAAAAGACTTCTGCACTTGTGCTTTGGAGGGTTTGTACTTGTGGTGTTGTTTATTTTTTTTTTTTGTTCTAGACTACATTTCAGAACCTTGAACCAGGGAGAATCCTTGAGTGGATGTCATAAAAATTAACAATTTGCTTATGCTAACAAAAGAAAGGGACAATAGGTACCCTATACAATCTGTGGAAGACAGTCAGAAAGCACAAATGAACAAGCAAACAGCTAAGTATTCATCTAAAAATAAACCTATCAGCATGGGACTGAGTTTCTTTCTTTCTTTCTTTGCTTCTTTCAAGTATCCTTTCCATTCTTCACCTTTGTAAATGCAGAGCAGGAAAATAAGCTCATTCGGTGAGTATATGATGTGGAGGAAGATACCATGAAAACAGTGAACTTCGTTGTGAATGTTTTTAATTTCCTGTTTAAGCCCTATATAAAATAACCTACCTGAACTGCTGAGAGAAGAGGAAATTTACATGATTAAAATAAGACCTGCAAATAATACCTCAAAAGGAGGGAATAGGAATGATGGAGATAATAATTGGTATCGAGCCATGTAATTTGTGGTGCCACACAGCACCATAGATTTCTTTTTCTAAATTATTCAGTGCATCCTTTGGTAGTGTTAATAGGCTCGTGCTGTTTTCCACCAGCTTAGGGTCTAGTCTACTGCCTTCTTAGGGAAAATTGGCTTTACGTTTGCCTTAAGCATTACTACAAATTTTTCTCACGTTTCCTGCTACTGAGTATTACCTTGACATCTTATTCTGGCTCCATTGAAGTCAGTTGAAAAACTCATGTGTGAGACAGGACTTTACTTTTACCTCAGAGATATCTAGGTTTCAATGGGTATTAAATTCTAGGAAGAGTTGTAGAACCAGAGTCTTCGCTAGGTAGACATTTCACCCAAATATTTGCAGTTTAGATCAAAATGATAGCAAATTACTGAAATTGATGGGCAGTAATTTTAGTCTGTCTGTACTTTCTGTATAGAGGGCAGGAGAAGGATTGTTGAGTAGCTGTGCCATAAATATTTATAATACTCTACCCCCTTGCTCAGAGGGAAAAAAGAATCCACAGAACTTGCAATTACAGTCGTACAAAATGCGCAAGTGAAACAAAGTTCAAGGTAACCTTTTATTTCCTAGTCATATTTTTTCACATAAATGCTCTATACTACGAGAAGTTTCATGTTTTACTGTCCTGTATTGCCTTGAACTAAAAGCAATTATACTGCACACTCCTATTTAAAGGCCATTAAACAGTGCCTTGCCAAACATCCTCATTGCAGTGCATTAGAACATGCTTATGCTTAAGTCATGAGCAACACAAGATACCCTACGTTTCCATTGCAGAGAGAGAGTCAGATGGCAGTGGCACTCACTGGCTTTTATTTCACATATGCCAGTCTGTGAAAATGATAGACCAGTATAAAAGTTTCATGTGGTCCCAGTCAGTATTATTTACGCTGACCTGGTTTTTTTCAGCAATGGGCTGTCACACTGAGTGAATCAAGCTGTTTTGAACCCTCAAAATTTTGGAACAATGGATCAGGGATTAGCTCCACCGGGAAGTTATTTTCCTCTGACTCTGCAAGGCACATTGAGTTCTGTCATCACAGTGGTGTCTGCTCATATATTTACGTATTGCTTGAGAATATGTCATATCTCAGGATCTTTGCAGCCTGTTCAATTTGCAGAATGAAAGATTAATTACATTATGCTGGCAACGCCTTACAAATATTGATGAAGCTTATTGTTTCTCACACAACCAACAGTTAATACAGCATCTTCTGATCAGATTAAAGGATAGAAATATATTAAAAATTCCAAGTAGATTAATTTCCTGTATGAACCTAAACTGGTTTCACACATACGTGTATGCTAAAGTGATTGGAGCCATCAAGAAAAATAAATTGTAGTCCTATTCATGGAAGGCAGAATAGCAGATGTATACAGATTGTTTTCAGGAGCAAGCCTGGAAAATAGTGCAGTAACTCATAAAAGAACCTTAAACGTGTTCAAAGTTGCACTCAAATATCCCTGTTGTTCTCTGTTATCCAGTTTGAAGCTCAATAAAGTTTATAAACTGTTCACGGGAATAGAATATTCATATTTAATATGAAACATTATTAAAATCCATCAGGTTAATTTCTGGAGACACTTCTACCTATGTGCCTATATGCAAGGCAGGAAAATCTATAGAGTTATAAGAAAAGCTAATGAGACTATAAAAAGAGGCTAGCCCTTAGCTGGCTTTTCCTGATTGCTGGGTGAGGTCTGGGAACATACACTTGGCAAGTCCAGAGAAACTTCCTGCTAGCAACATTCCTGCTCTTTTCTTGAAAATGGCATTGTTTGTGTGCCAAAATTTGGACTAGGCTAGCAAGAACTTGACAGGCAGAGCCCCAGAAAGAGCAGGAAATAAAAGCACCAGGACTTTCCTGCTCTGGCTTTCCCAATACTGCAAATTCTTCAATCCTGGGGTCTCCCAGGACTGAGGAGACTTCCTTACTCTAACTGCTTTTCCCTCCCACTCAAGCAGACTAATAGCTGTCATCTAGTGCAGGATAGCCCTTCCTTCACCATTTGCTTAGCTCCTACACCCTTGTATCCCTGACTGCTAACAAAATCCCATTGCTTATAAGTGCATTTGTCTTTTTCAGCAGGGTTTGATGCACAGGCATGGCATCATCTTTAACACACCTTCCACCTGCCAAATGACATATTTTATATCTTAATTATTAAAAACATACTAATTAAGCAAATACAGTATTTGATGCATTCTGACTATATGATGCAAATACCTGTATACATACATTCAGCCAACATGCCCATTTGTTTGCATTTCCTTAGACGGCACTCCTGGCATTTTCTTCTCATGTACATGTCCATCTCGCAGTTGCCTCCATTTTTACATTTGTATACTGCATTTTTTGTGATACTTCTTCTGAAGAATCCTGCGTAACACAGTAGTGATATAGATGAAAGAAAACACTCAAAGAAGAAAAGTCATAAAGCTGAAGAGCACCTCCATCTGCATTGGATTTTCTGAATGACCCATGTTCTGCCACAAGTTTCTTTCGTTGTCTGAATGATGTCCTCTTGGTATTTTGTATTGACAACAGTATCAAAGTCATATAATTTAATAAATTAACATGATAAATCAGGGGAGCAAACATTAGACATTAACCCTACTAAGGTCCTGGAATTGCGAACGCTGTAAAAATTCAAACCCAAATCTGAAACCTGCAAGGAGCAGGCTGAGCACCAGAACTAGAGCCAGAGGGTGATACCATAAAAACAGTGAATAAAAAAAAAAGGGGTCTGTTAAGTCTCTTGAGGAACAGGATATGCAGAAAGAGAGTTGAGCAGCTAATCACCCTTCCCCCAGTTCCTGGGAGCAACAGGAGCTCCACATACTGGTTTGCTCACCCACCCTCAAGTTTAATAAGGAATCTGCATTGTATTGCCTATTGTATATGTGGCCCTCTCCCCTGTTTACAAGACATTCCAGCCTTATTCACTAAATACTGTCCACTTGATGAGTTAAGCTGTCACCTAATTTCACCTGCACAGGCAGTCTTTGCTGTCAATGTTTCCTTAATTTTTAGTGTGACTCACTGTACCATCACACTCTTTTCACATTAATCTTCCTTTAGAAGAGACTATTTAGCATCAGATACAGAGAGAATCAGTTTTCCTTCCCATATGAGGGGAGTTTTCTGAATAAACTTCTGGTACCTTCTGCTGGCACATCACTGATTTATTCTGTGCTTCAAACTAGAGCCCTGTGTAAATTTACATTAACCAGAGCTGTTAAAAAACCTTTGCTTTCTTATCACCACTGGCTTGCACAATAAATTCATCATTTTCCAAGCTGTCACTTTGATGCACTAAAAAAGGCACTAGATAAGACCCAAACTCCCATATTCAAATTATAGAGCAAATTCGGATGTGAATCTGAAGGATTTGTCTGTGTATTTGCAGAATGCATACAGCTAAGTTACCACCCCACTGAATCTAAGCAAGATAACAGATGACATGATGATTACCACTGTCAGATGACCATTTCCCAAATTTGATCCCTTCCAAGCACCAATGCATAGCAACCAGTAAAAAAATTCCTCTACCTGGTCAAAAAAACCCTGGCATTTCTCTGAATCCACAATAATTACTGCTTGAAATCTTTTCCATGCTGTCCATTTTATTGGCTGCTTTTCAAATAAATGCAGTTGACTGGCATCAGTCTCTTTTGAAATGCAGATTACTTAGAACCTCCAGGAGCCCCAGGCATTATTTTTATTCATCATTCACATGGCTTTAATACATTACTGTTTACCGCTCAGGGAAGGGAGAAAAAGGCCTGCATTTAAACTGTAGGTTCTTCATGTCAGTTAAAGGGAACTGCATCTGCTTTGTGTCATTTATGAATTCTGTTAACTTTAAATCCTATAATTTATGACAAATTCATTAGAAGTAAATTTTGAAAAGCTCTGCACAAATATTTATGACATTCTAAGACTGACTGATGACTTTATCACTCAACCTATCTACAAGGTGTTCATTTGCTTCTTCATGGGGGAACAAAGTGAAAGAGCTTTAGTAAAGGAGTTTTCTAAGATATGCAAGAATGTGGAAGAAGAATGCAAAATTATGGACACAAAATCTAGGAACCAAAAAGATTCAAGCAGTCAAATATATTCTCTTGAAAACCAAGGTTTTGAAAAAGTGAAATAATGTGAAATGAAAAGTGAAATAATTTGAACAGCTTTCTTCATAATTAATTTTGAAATTAAATTTTTGTATGAATGAAAATTATATATATATATAATTCATTATTAATTCAAAATGAACTTAAACTGCCTGAAATACTTTATGTGTGACTATCTATAACAGGAGGAATTTTACTAAAATTTAAAAGTTAGTAGACATGGCACATGTTAAACTAACAAAGGGTTAGTAACCCCAAAAGCTAAAGGTTTTTCTGGCACAGTCTTTTATCTGATCTTGCCAAATTACAAAAAGCTTATGTTGGCTGGAAATGTTGAATTCGCTTTGTTCTCTTAGATAGTCATGAATATGATTAATTATGGTAGAGCTGCTCCATTGTTACTGATGCTGATTTTTTTCTCATGAAAATCATGCAAGTTGAAAGAGGACAGCTGTAAAAAGTGTAGATGAAAGCTTCGGAAATATCTCTGTTTGCCATCCTGATTGATTTTAATTTTAAAAGTTTTTGAAGTTCACAACTGCTAACAAAGCACCTGCTCTGCTCTGTCAGACTATCAAGACTTCTTCTGGCATTCCTTCCCCCTGCCCACAGTGATGGGTGTTAGTGAGGAGAAGATTAAAGCAGGACCCTTCTTTGCAGGAAAAATTCTCAGTCTGTTGTGAGAGACATGAAGCAGTCCAGGAGGGGTTTGAATACTGCAAAAACTCACACTGCAAACTTGCAATGAGGGAATGCACAACTAGCTCCTCATGGAGTTAGAAAATAGTTTGGGTTGGAAGGGACCTTAAAGATGGGGACCTTCTCTTTCAGCAGAACTTATTCTATGGCTTTATTAAATAAGCACAACACTACGTCAAATTTGTTCTGTAGCATTTGGAAACAGCCCTTAAAACCCAGTACCGCTATGCAGGCTGAGGCTATACCAGAATATCTTTGATACCTATCTGCAAAGGTTGTCTCAGAAACAGCCTTTATAGTAGCACGTTTAAATATAGTGCATTGCTCCTTCTACTGTAAATGTTATGTAAATATTAATTAAATAGTTCATACATGTTTGTCAATGGATGGTACTGTATTAAAAATATATAGCAGTGTATACCCCTGCCAATATCTTCAGATGAATATTCTCATGAGAGACAACAAATAAGATCTTAATATTGATCCTTCTGCTCAGGAAAGAAAACCAAAACTTATGGAAGGTGTTGCCGAATGCATTACCCAGAAAAGAATTTTTTTAAAAACACTTAAAGTATTCATCACAGAGGATTAAATCCCATAAAAATATGTGTGAAACCTCTCCCTTTGAATAAGAACATTCACAGCATCCAGGGAGCAGGGATGCTGCAAGGTGAGCAAGCTGAAAGGGATCAGCATATTATTTTGGACTCACATTGAGCATGAATTAACAGTCTTGTTGCGTAAAAGAAGGGCTAATCTCATACTTGGGAGTGAGACACACAGGAGGTAGTTCCTCTACTGCACCGATAAGAGCACAACTGAATTAACCGAGCCTAATTTTGCTCTCCATGCTCTGAAGGTAATGTATACCCACGTGAAAAATTCCACAGATATACGAGAATGATCGGAGGTCTAGAAAACATAGTATCTGCTTCACCTTGTCAAACAGAATTACTGTCCTCAGCATATCGTTTTACTGAATCAGCTGGTACTTTAATCACCTCTAAAGTTTATTGTAGAAACAGAATGCATTATCCTTAAATAACTCAACTTTTACTGTGTTTGATCGTGGGTACTATTCTTCGTAATTGATGTTGCAGTCATGAAACAGAACAAAAACATAAAAGAGATTATCCCAATAAAGCAGTAAAATTATGGTTACATAGAGTGATTCAAAATGAATTAGTAGGGAAGTGGATGCATAACTCCTTTCAGCATGGGTTTCAGTCTGGATAGTTCCCTGGTGATTTTTAATCTCTCTCCTAGAAACATTCTTTGGAAATTTCAAAGTTTGTAATTTTAAGTCTGACAAGTTGTTAAGACATTTAATAATGAAGTTAATAAACAGTAGGAATAGCTTACTATCAGAATAAATGTATCACTACTTAGGATCTTCATATCAAAATTGAGTTTAATCTGATTTATAATGACAGCATTCATATGAGTTAATTCATAATTTTTTCCTTGGAGACTATTCACACAACAGAAAGAAACACATCTTTTATTTATTGGAATTACTGAGATAAACTATGTGACCCTTGACTGTATTCATGTTTAGAGTGGTTGACTAGTGTGGTCTGTTGTTTCCTCACAAATGATTTTGTGATAGATAAAGCAAAAGCCCAAAATTAGTTCAAGGTCCACTGTCTGTGACAGTGAATTCCACATCAAGATGTTTTAGTGCTTCAGTAGTATCCATGCTTTAGCCTTTCTCCGTGGAACAGAAATTATAATGAAATATTCACAGAACAGAATGAAAAACTAGGGCACTATTTTTCTGTACCTCAGCCTTATCACAGAATAACCATCTTCAGGTTTAATCGTTGGCATAACCTTTTTTCCTTCTCTGATATCTAGCAATCATGTTTCCAATAATGGCAATTATTTTCTATATCCCATTTATCCTGATACCAACATGTGAATACTGTTCTTCTAAGAAGCAAGATATTTGTCCTACAGATACCACCTGCTTCCTGAAGAAGCTTTCTCCTTGGAGACAGCAGCTGTTCCCAGAAGAAAGTCTAAAACTAGAAATCTTCTCATTTTACAAACCTGAAGACACCAATCATATCCTTCAGGAGCTGGGGGCTGCTGTAGGAGCTGACAGCTTTCACTTCCTTTCAGTGCACCCTACAGAAGGCACCTGGGCTGGTTTTACAGCTATTTTCTAGGGTAGCCTGAACTCCCAGAGGCCTCCATGGGTGTGGTTCCTTCCAAAGGTAGAGAATGGCATAAGCAGCCTCCATGGACAGCAGAGCCAGGCTCCACATAGCAGCTGTTTTTCAGTTTACCAAGAGCTATTGGTGCTCAAGAGCCATAGGCTAGCTTACTGTGATGTAGAATCATAAGACAGTGGTAGAAGACACTGCTAATCTGTCTTTGGGGAAAATACAGAATAGGGCACAAGATATGGAAATGTAGATTTTTAAAATGCTTAATGACTTAGATAAAATTAACAAGAAAGTTAAAAACTATTCATAAACCACCATGCTTACTAGCTGAATTAGGTTCTGTAATTGATTTCATCCTACCTTTGCATCCTTCACAAGTAAGGGCATTGTAGTGGTACCCAGAGGCTTTGTCACCGCAGACCACACAGAGCTCTTCTCCTTTCACTCTTCCCGTAGAGTGACCCAGTCTAGGTTTTTTGGCTGCAGGGATATCCAATATCTCTGTTTCCCTTGTGAAAAAGGTCTCTGAGGGTAATCTCCTGAGTTCGTACATCCCAGGGGAATACCATTCCTCATGCTGTGGAGGGTAGAAGCCTAGGTTGGGGTAATAAGGTGGCGATGATATCTGAGGCTGAACTTGGGGAAATGGCACACTGTTGTACTGTGCATAAGGTGACACATCTGCCTCTTGTACTGGAGAACTCATTGGTTCTGAAAGGACACCTGGAAAATAATAATGTAAAACCAATCTCTATTACTACCATGAAACTGTAGTTATTAGAGAAGTTGCCACTTCCAGACGTCTATATCAAAAATGGGGTACAACAAAAAGATTGCATTATCTGAGCTCAGATTTGCTACACAAATACACCGCAAGGTGTTTTAAAAATAACCTGGTCATCTTTAGCCACTCCTCTATCATTGGTGGAAATGTCCAGCACTGGCACTTACATAAAAAAAGAATTCTTGAAAGATATTGCACAGATAATCATATAATTGTTCATTTTATAGGAAAGAGCAATCCACATCCCAGAGTAGCTAGCAACCCATATTACCAGAATAGAGGAAATCCAAAGAAATGCCAAAAGTCCTGTGGCATTGGCGAAAGCTAGATCAAGACTCAAACGTCATATTAATCCTTCTTTAATTTAGAAAGAACACATTAAGACAGAGAAAAGCAGCACTGGGGAAAAATTACAGGGGTGAGGCTCAATTAGAAAACTAAGAACATGAAATAAACCTCCAAGAAAGATGGAAGTGAGGTTACTATGAAGGAACAGGGAAGATGTTCCTAATATAAGTAGTGAAATGCCACCATCCAGCTTCCAGTGGCCAGCCAGCCTCTACAGCCTGGTCCCCAGCCCCTACAAGCCTGTGCCATTCAGTGTAGGTGTGCGATTCTCACAGGAAGCACCTCTGTAAGCCAGCATTAGTCACCTCTGAGCCAACAACAGACCTGGTGGTGGTATAAGGAGTGGCAGCCTTTCCTGTCTGGATCAACACAGTATCTGGAGACTACCTTAACTTTGCTCATTAAATTTCACATTTAAAATTGCACCCAATCCAAGTCTGCTTTTTTGTTTCTGTACTTCAGGTACATCTATCAGTCCCTGGATGGTGTAGTAAAAATCAAGCCCATGTCAAACAGCTGAAAAGTGGAATTTGAAAGTTATTTGAAAACTACTTGATATTTTTTGTTGGAGAGAGCCCCATCTTGCTGTTTCCTGAAAATACTGACTCCATTCCTTTAAGAGTTCCAAGAAGAGAGTCTGAGAAAAACCGTACATATTTCCAAGAAGATGACCAGTCCACTTTTATTTGAGTCAACAGCAGCATTTACAAGGAAATTTTAGATTAATATTTATTGGTGACCATCACTTAACAGTGCTTCAGAAGAACTCCAAAAACATTTTTGCTGACATAAAGTTGGTCACAGGCAAATATCCTTCACTTTGGAGGAATCAGAAACAATGAAGAAATGCTAACAGTTAGAAAGAGGAAACATCTGTAATGACAAAAACAATTAAAATCTATAGCAGGGGATCCTTCCCTCTCCTTTGTCTCTCTTCAGTTAGTGCCAGAAGCTAACCTTTTAATTTCATCTACTTTTTCACGTACTTGGTCTGCAGCCTTCTGCCCTTCCTGCTTTCCCATGCTGCAGAAGCCATGCAAGTGTTTTGGATTTATGGGGTCGCTGTACCGCCCACAGCACATCTTTGCCAATAGCAAATGTTGAGATTCCAGTTCCAGAACAAGCAGCAAGATACATGTCAGGAAAAAAACTGACATAAAACTGAATGAGAATAATGGTCCCATCTATTACTAACAATTAGTTTAACTACAGTTGCATTTGGTTGCTCCAGAAGAGGTCAGGGCCCCAAGTAGTGGCAGGAGCAGAGTAACAGAAGGCACTCCCCAAACCAAAGTTTATGCCATTTAAACAAACAATATAGACATACAGAGGGCATCTAGGTCTCAATGAAAGGGCCTGGAAGTGAAGTTACAGCTTCATGCATCAAATGTAAAGTGTCATTGATACCTGCCAGCCACAGCAGTGACAAAAAAAGAGTAAGGAAAACAATGCTTTGACGTCTGGCATAGGTTTAAGGAGTGGGTAGTAGGTCTTTAATTATGTTTACCTTTTGTTGAGATTGCTGCTCATTAAGACTGGTCAAGATACCTCAGGCACAAAACCCGGTGTTAATTGTGGGGTACACAATCATTCAGTCTCTGTTTGGAAAGGAATCTTTTCACCATGGAAACATAAGCTGCTATTTGCTAGATAGGAAATTACTTAGTTGATTGTGTTCGCTAAAGGGAAATGGGACACTCTCAAAATGAAACGAAAGAAATTGTTGATTTTTAACTTTATGCCACCCACAAGAAACTCCACAAGAGCTGTATAGCAGCATCCTGAACTGCTTAGATCTCTGACGGAGCAAGAAGAAAAGGAAATATTCTTTGCGCACCAAAAATCTCAGGGCTGGTTAAAAAACTCAGGACTGCTAAAGAACTGTAGCACATCCTGAGACAAGATTGGGTGTTTATTTAAACCATAGTAGAACCTTTGGGTTACACGTGTATTTAGTAAAATATTCACAATTGTTCTACTTCCGAAGGAAAAAAAAAAAAAAAAAGAGTCTTAATGCACGAAGTTAAATATGAGCAAATAAAACCCAACAAACCTATATCACCTTCTTCCTTCTGTATCAGACACATAGTTAAACAATTTAGCTGAACTGAGTCCATGCCCAGAGCAATGGAAGAGAAAAGGAAGAACAAAACAGGGTTGAGGGAGGCTGAGAGAACATGGTCTTGTTTTATGTAAAACAGACTTACAGCTGAAACTCTGGGAAGTGCTCAGAGTCCAGTATGATTTTTGAAGATAATGAGGTTGCAACTATGTGGGTTCCCTCACTTTAGCTTAATGTTTTGAGGGTTTTTTGTTTGGTTTTGGTTTGGTTTGTTTTAAGTAGACTTGAACACGGTCTACCTGTAGACCTGTACGTGAGAATCTAGACCAAATAATTTCTTATCACAAAAGAAAAGTAATCTTATCTTGCCAAGTAAAATGTACATAAGCTTTTCCCCAGATACATACTTGTAGAAGTCTGCGATGTACTTACGTGACCAAGTATAAGCAATCTAGTAAAATCATTGGAGTTGCAGTAGTTTAAGCAGCAAAAGTGAAATCAGAAACGAGCTCACTGGACTACACCAACATTTTATGTTTGTGTGGTCTTAGCTACTTTGAAACATTTATCTGTTTTCCCTTTTGGAAGCATACCTTTTACATTTTTAAGGAATGACTGCTTATGCACACACAAATGTAATGTTACTTACAGGTGCAAATCTTTTAGATTATGTTTTGCAAATAGATGTTTTTCAGTGAAAGTGTTTTACAGAAATATGGAAAGCTTACTAAAAACCTTCATATGGATATGATAATTGTCTTAGGAATATTTTTCCACTGGCAAATGAAACTCATTGAAGAGTTTTGCTCTTGTTATTTTCAAGTTTACACAGACTATTTTATGCAGAACTTGAAAAAATATTTGACTTGTGGAAACAAAAGTTAATTTTCCTTGTAGGAACTAAAAAAAGTGTTTTCAGTTTGCAGAATTATATTGAGGTTATGTATAAAGTAAAGGTGGTTTTATGCAGACTATTACAGAAATTACAATGAGATCTTTAATGTAAAAATTATTGTTCCACTAATATAAAGTTAATTGAAGAGAATAAAATTCTAGTTAGGTTCAAAACATGAACATCTGGATCTCCTTTGATATTCATGAAGGAATGTAAAGAAATAACAATATTCAGGATTAAGTCATTTGGGAACCATGGCATAGCCATTAAAAAATCACAATTTAATTCCAAACAAAGTATTTGCACACCTTTTAAAAATCATTTGGCTTAAAAGAAAACCTTCTAGCATCCTACAATTTCAAGGAAGAGTGCAAGAATAGATGGCAAAAACATTCAAACAAGAACACGGCAATATCCTACCTCAGGCTGGGTTCAATCTGACCATTTCTTGAAGTAAAGTACTCTCCTTAAGGTACCCAGTCTTCCTTTCCCTCTCTTTTTCTTTTTTTTTTCCTCCTAAAGGCTATCTATAAATAAAAATTTTTAATTCTGCTCTGTCTGTATCCTGTTGCCTTCTTTATTGTGAGAACTTTCTTTAAGATTAGAAAGGAGTGACACAGACCAGAGGTTATATAGTTTACTGATTAACTTGATCACTGAGACACTCGATTATAAATGTCTGAAACAATGTCCGTCCCCAGCTTGGATTTACCTGGGTAAAATTTGGTTATCACTGGATGGGGTGCCTTCAAGTAGCCTAGCCATTGTACTTCTGTACCTACTGTGCTTTAGTTACAACAAAATTTTGATCTATAAATATTTGGTAAAGTCAGGTATTTCTGTGTAATTGATTAATCACTTCAACAGCACAGGAAGCATGTTTTAGCTGACTGGATTAACAGATGTTAAATACAGAAATTTTGCATTCTCAAAAAAAAGCCAAAGTGCTTTGGCCATATTGGATGCATCTGTATGACAAGATAGAATGGTTTGGGTTGGAAGGGACCTTAAAGACCATTTTGTTCCAAATCCCCTGCAGTGGGCAGGGACACTTTCCCCTTAAACAGGTTGCTCAAAGCGCCATCCAATCTGTCATTCTCATTAATTTTTTTTCTCAGATTGCCACTCTGGTTGGTTGTGCTCTTTTCATAATTATTATACATACAAGATTTTCTGTTTTAATTTGTGTTGGCTTGTTTCCTTTTGATTTGGGGGTCAGTTATGAGCCTAATTATCTTCTCTGCAGGGATGAAGCCAGATGTTGCATCATCTGCCAGGTGGTGCTAAAGAGAAGTAGTTATTTAACATATCTTATGATCCTGAAGCTGTTTAATCAGTTTGGACACTTGACCTTACTAACTTTAAAAAATATATGTATATAAAAGAATAACTAGAACAAATGCAGATTTATCTAAAAGGAGTCAGCCTTTCAAGCTCCTCTTAGGCACTTTTCTATGCCTACAACAATTTTTAACAGCATTTGATTGTTCTTGCATTGAGAGGTTTAGATGTATTGCTTTCTTTACCCCTTTGTTAACTGTAATTTTTTTTCTTATTCTTCCTTCTTCATTTCAATACAGCCTTTAAGAGTGCTTATTCACACAAAAAACTTCTTTCTCTACAGGGACACATGTAATGAGGGTGGCATTTCTTGTCTTGTTAATGTCATGTTAAAAAAAAACATTTTCAGGTCGTCAAAAATGGTCTTCATTCAAACTAAGCATATAATAGTACTGAATTATCGCTTCAGGTTCCTAGAAATAATTCTATTTCTGATATCTGAAGCTTCACACTTAATGTTTTGCATACTAATAACTTCTGTATAAGGTGCTTTCACAGAAAGTAGAATGGAGCTATAATTTTAGAGGCTTGTTACTTATCATAGAAATCACTGAGTCAAATGTTGTATATAATTCAAAGGCAATTGAAAGAGGTTATCAAATACCATTTTGCAATGGTCTTGCTGTCCCAGCTGAATTGCCAAGCCTTAGAGCAAGGCTTGTCACAGTGCTCTGCTAATGCACCTCACCATGTTCTAGGTCGCAAAGCAGAGAAGCTCAGATCAGTCTATGTCTGTTGTGGCTCTAAAATGAACTACAAAGCTTCCAAAGATTTTAAAGGAGACCAGGATTTCAGTCCTAAATTACAGAGGTTAAAAAATACAATTTGGTAGGTGTGTCACTTTCTCTTAGGTCAGGGTATGGAACTGGACCAGTCTTCACAGAGCTGGCCCTGTTCAGTCCAATGGGGCTTGTGAAATAAAAACAGAGTTTGGCTGAGGAAGGGAAGAATCTCAGTGGGAGAGGTCCCGTGGAGACCCACACACCTCTAGGTTCTCTTGTCACCAACAGTCCCTTTCTCTCACTGGCAAAACCAGAGCTGCAAGAAAGATGAAGTTGATTTTGCATGCTGATACTCTAGAGATTGCATCATTTTATGAATTTGGTTTTGGCCACTTCTTCAAAGATCTATTTTCTGTAAAGAGATCTGGAATGTTTCTAAGTCACCTGAGTAGGGATTTAGATAGAGAAGCAGTTTTCCAGAAAGAGAGGGTGGAAGGGAATGACTTTTACTAGGTTAAAGATTCTTCCTCATTTGCCTTTCTGGACCTTTTTTCCAGGGACTTATAACTACAGAAGTGAAAAGCTATAGTTAGAACACACTGACTCCAAAGACATACAGATACTTTACCCTAGATGTGTACTGTTAAAACTACAACATACAACTTCCAGTTCTTGAAAGGTAGGAAACCTTTTTTTTTTTTTTTTTTTAATTTAAGCTCTTCTGAAACCTACTGGAACTAGAAATCTTGAGGCTATATAGAAGTGCCCTGGAATTATCATGGTGATGAGGCTCACAGCACAAACAACTCACAGTTGAGAACGTTTCTTTTGAAAGACCTGAACCTGGCACTAATGTTTGGAAATTCAATTAGATTTAGTTTTGAAGATCTAAGGTCACTCTCCCCATAGACTGAGTGAAGCATGATGAAAAGAAAATACATTTCCAAGGGGTTTTTTTACAGAATGCGAGCATGTATCTTTGAAAAAAGGAAACTGGTTTGTATAAAGGCTAAAGTTTGTAAGGCAACAGTTTTTAACTTCTTGTGAACTCTGATGGTTGAAAAGTCCTGAGAGAATTTTTCATTCTAAGGGGCATTGAAAAGAAAAGCTTTGTTCCTATTTCCTTGGGTTCACAAGTCACTTCCTGCCAAAACTGAATGTCAAAAAAAAGAAGTAATTTACAAATATAAATTCAAGAGGGAAAACCAATTCCTACATGTCTTTTGAAGAGAAAAGTCATATTTTCACAACAAGTAACTTTCTCTGTAGACTCAGTTGCCTATTATTTCTGATGGGTTTTTTTCCAGCTATAAAAGAAAAAAGACACCACATTAGAGTGACACCCCACTAAACAAAAATCAGCTTAAGTGAAACGCAGCAAGTGTGATGTGTCTTCTTCCTAATGGGACCCCTGATTGAACCCCTTAATACATTATTTCTTTCTCTTACAGAAATGTCAGTTTGAATTAAATCTCCATTTTGCTAAGGTCTGAAGATCTATAAGGGGAGACACAATCCCTCATATGAAGGCCTCGCAACTTGTAAGATTTCCCCGTGAATGGAAAGCCTTTTACACATTAACATTTCTCCTTGTATGTTCCAGCTACCTGATCATTATTCTTTAAAAATAATGAAATAATTAGTGAAAAAGTAGATATTGGGAGGAAATTTTCTTGATAAAAATCCAAAGTAGTTCAGTTATTCAGTAGTTTTAAAATGATAACTAGATTTGAATATCATTCTACTCCTTGTATATTGTGGCTTGAGACTAGAATTACCAGGTAGCAAGGAAGTGTTTTAGCTCTTTGCATATACTTTTTTTAACAGCTCCAAAATATTTGCCCTGCTCAACCCCAACACAGAGAGGGATAAAAACCAGTAACACAATAACGGAATGGGTTCTGCTTGTCATTAGTGATAGTGCTTTAGTTTAGCTGTATGGAGACAGGAGACTGGAAGTGGTTTCACTTGAAAGATGCTCCTGACTTCTGAGAGCTCTGCAGCTGGAGTGGCTCTGTGTGTCAGAGTCCTTCCGTGCCCCAGTTACTATTCTCATTTCAGGCAGAAAAAACTGGAATGTTTTCAATTTTTCCAGCACTCAAAAAGGCAGAATTCTTGTCTTATTTGGACTGGAAGCTTCTGAAGCGTTGCACTATTCTGCATATCTCACAATATATGTGAGACCCTCAATGTTTCATATTGGTCAATGAAGGACCCACTCTACTGCCAAAGAAAAAGCTAAAAAATGTATCCTCTCTTTTTTTTCTTAGTAGAAGACAGTTTCACCATGCTTATAAAATATTGACCAAGAACTTTTCATTCACTAACAAACCCATGTGTAGCCTTGAAAAATTCAGTGGGACCGGAGCAAGGAGAATTTCCCAGCCTACTTTATAAATTTTCTTGTGCACTGAAGTTAATAGAAAAAGTTTTTAATGGTCTTAATAAGACAAAGACTTTAATTTAGATGAAATTACTTTCATAAATTTGCATAATATGGCAATGCAAATACATTGCAGGATAATTTTATTACTAATTAACTGGAAATATATCTGTTCAGCTTGATTTAAATGACTCACAGGAAGACAACAACCAGCCTGAATACAAAGGTCTATCTTCGCCAATTGGTTTTCAGTGCTAGAAGAGTGTTACAAAAACAAAACACAGGCTCTCCTATGAGCAATAGTGTGCAGGATTACATTACACCACAGATCCATTGTTATTTCTTTTGTAAGTATTGAAGATTTAAGAAGGTTGGCACATGTCTCTCACATGTCCTTGAAATTTCAGTGCATTTTCTTCTAGGTTCCTGAGTAAAGGACAGCTTGCTATTTCAATCTAATTTGGTGACTTACCAAACAAATGAGGACCTTCAGCAAGAGGAAATCCATCAGCAGAGGCTAGCTGATGATGTCCAACTAAATTCATTTCAGATCCCATTTATTCTTCAGTTCAAGAGGAATATGCTGATTAAAAAATAGATTGAAAGGAGACCCTGAAAACATATAAAGCAAAAAGAATATTTAAAACAAGATAACTTGGTTTTGTATACCTGATATAGGGCAGGATTCAAGAGGTTGTTTCAGTATTTGCTCTGACAAACTCTGGCTTGAAGTTATAATACCTAATTCAGCCTTTAAACAAAATGCTGCATTCAGTTTGTTTGTTTTTATCTTGCTGTGGCATATTTTATTTGTCATCCTTCTGCTATTCATTTTAAACTAATGTCAGTTTTTGCTCAGACTTATTCAAATATTCACAGATTGAAGCACTGGCCTGACCTGCTGAGGGCATGCTGCCCAGCCCCCCTTCCACAGAATACTAATTGTTTGAATTATTTTTTCATCACTCCTTCACAATTTCACAGCTTTCACTTACTGGGAAAGTATAAGTTTATGGTTAGATCAGAAGAGCATAGCCAGGAAACTTGGCTTTAATTTCCAGTGACAAGCTCTTTATCTTACCTTCAGTAATTACTGTTGGAACAAGATAAATGGTAGCAAACACAGAAAGCAAAGCCTTGCTCTGATAACCAGGCTCACCCATCCGCTCCCTCTGTGGTCTCAAGCAGCCATATAACTCTCACCTGGGGAGGTTGGGAGATGCTTGTGCCCAGTCACTGGCATCCTTTCCTAGCAGGTCAGATGGAGCAGCTTTCTTCCACTTAGGTTGACAGTGGCACTCTACCCAGGCCATATTTATCTGATTCCAAATACTAGGCTATTAAAATAGAGGCAAGAGACCTGCCACTGCCCCTGTTCTAACAGAAGCTAGAGCAGCACCACATCCAGGAGGAAGGTGTACAAGAGGTTTCCTTGCCCGGGTCTGGTTCATGTGAATGGAGTGGGACAACTCCAGATTACATTTGAGGCAGAACCATCAGCAACAGGAGAACATACAACTCTGACAACAGGATGTCTCAAGAGCTTATACAGACACCAAGAGGATTCTGCATAAAGTTGACACAAATCTGTTCTGCTTTGGTTTATTGTCTTAATTATTTATTTGGTTTTATTCCCGTGGGACTGTCCCTGGGAGTGCACTTACACTAACTGAAGGCGTTTGAAAGTTATAGCCCAAGTCTGCTTCCCAGTGAGAGCTCAGCATGTTTCTCAAGCAGAAATTAAGTCATCTGACAAAAATGTGAATGCTGCAGGAGGCCCAAGTTCTGAGCAGGCTGGGAAGTAGCTTATGAGACTGTAATTATATTCGGATTTGTTCCTAAGGATTCATTAAGTTCTTTCTTGAAATAAACAGAGGCCCTCTAATTAGACAGATGCATTTTAAATGTCTGCCCACAGATAATTCAAACAGTTTACTCAGAAACGTCAAAAGCTACTTGTATCACAGACCAGATAGGGTTCTTGTGGCAAATAACATGTAAACATACAGTCTCAAATCTAGCACAGAAACACAGTTTTGCAACAGCAGAAGCACTTCATGTATCTTGGATGGGGTTTGGCAATCAGCCCAGCTACCCTAGTAGGTCCATGTTTATTTCCGATCATTTTACTGCCTTGCTACCACGTTTGCTAAGGAAGGTATCTGCTGGATGCAAGAGGTGGGGCTGCCGACACGGCTACGAAGGTCCAAAAGATCACCATCGCAAAGGTCCTACAATTCCTGACAGTTTTCTCATGAATGACCTATGAAAAGCCTTTGGGATGGGATTCCTTGTACGGCTCATTACAAGTGTTCTGGAATGGGAGAAGACAGCAGCAGAGTTAGGACCTTTTTAATGGCCACCGAGAGAAACATCAAAATGAGGCATCTTGAAAGGGCCTGTGAATATTTCTCTAAATGTTCTTGTTGAAAACCAGAGAAGAGCGGCCATCGCCACCTTCTCCTCATGTCCAAGGCCTTCAATATTTTCCTTATGGCCCATGGGAGTGCAACCCTTAGAGTTCCTTCCAGGATTTGCTCTCCCTGCAGCCAGACATGATGCCTGTGTTCCTTTAATATTACTACTCATGTTTCCTCCTCAGACCCTATTTGAGGACCTAATGCTTTAACATCTTACATGTCAACTCTGGGATTGTGAGTTCCTGTACATTCATACAGAGAACTTATCTTCTTAGGGAATGTTGGAAGTTATGTCAAAATACTTTAAGGAGAGTCCCAAGAAGACATTCATTCAAAAGTATTTACCGTCAGTATAAGGTCAGACTTTCAATGCATGACTTCTTAGCTTGTAAGGTATATATCCTGCATCCTTCTAGTTTGTGCTGCAAATATAGAAGAAAGCAGGAAGTTATATTTTTAAATGCTTATAAAATGTCTGTGCTTTTACAGTATCTTTGACATTTATAAACATCATTCTTGTTTCTTTAAGGTTATTCCATTTTTTAACATATCTTTAAATAATGTCACTTCAAGAAAGACTTCTTAGAATCTAATATTCTTTACATATAGACACAAAAAGCCCTGGTGTTATTAATATTGCCTTGTTTATTATAAAAATCTTGAGGACATGTTTGTCATAATCTGCAGTATTCTAAGACATCACAGATTTTGTAACTCTACCCTTCCTGCCACATCAACTTCGGTCTGCATGGATTCTGTTCAAATTAAATGTTCATGATGATTCTACATTTCCCACTTTTTTTTAATATTTCATTTTCTCTAATATATTCCACTAATGTAGACCATTCACTGGATGTCATGGAAAAGACTACTCCTATCTCCTTAGGATTTCTGCAAGGCACATGATCATCATTCAAAAGGTTGGAAATACATTTTCCATTGCATGTATCTTTGCTATTGTAAATTTCCCCAAACACCAAACTCTTCATTAAATACTGATTGACATTTTGTCTTGATTTGCTCCTGAGTCCAGCCTGCTGTGAGCTGTCTAACCTGTATTAGATTTATCCATATGATTAATTTCACTCATATTTAAAACAGCAGATACTGATTTCCAGCTTTCAGACCTACTCTAAGTACACAGTATAGAGCATTTAAGCAACATTTACCCCACATATTTTTCATTTCTGGGAAATAGTATAAGTCATTATAGGTCGGTGTTGCAAGGCATCACAGACCCAGGGGTGGACTCTCTTCCAAAGAGCTGGTTCCACAATGTGCACTCCGTCCTTAACCTCTTAACCTTAGCCTCATCCTCCTGGACTCTTTCTGAGGTTAAACAACTGTGGTCCCAACTTGCTGCAACTCCCATGGAGCCGAGGCGTTGGTCTAGCCAGTGGGATAGGCACACCCAGCAGACATAAAGAGGCATCCAAATTCTGCCAACGTGGCTGGGTGAGAAAGGGTGCCCATGCACCTACACATGGCATCTCATGGCAGAAGTATTCTTTCCAAAGCTAGAGGGGCTGAGGAATTCTTTTGACTGGTAACATAAAGCTATGTCATCTTAGCTTCCAGAATAAATTAATCTACATGAACTAGATCAATAATCAGTGTCTTAATTCAGATTTCTTTATCTACCAAACCCTATAATATCGGAAAGCTTCTTGATATTTGTAGGCATCTTTGGTATGAATAAATGTTCATAGGTATTTCTACGTCATGATTGTTTTCTTATGTGAACTGTTTCTTTGGGGCTACTGCTATCAAGATAAATCTAGATTACCTTGGCCAACTTGACTGGTACTCCGTGCTAAGGCGTAACAAAAAAACCCCGCACCAGATAGGTAAAAGCTGTAATAAAGGTAATAGTTCCACAGGAAATCAGTATTGCTCTCCAAAATAAGAGCACCCTCAAGAGAAAATAAGAGGCATGAGATAAACTAGAAAGCTTATTTTCCCAAATAATTATATTTTATTTAACTCTTCAAATAAACCTATTTACTCTACCACCTTTAGAGATTATTTTCATAGGCCAAAAATATAGAGCAAAGAAAAACAGAGATCAGTATGTATAAAGTAAAATATATGCCCAACTGCTTGAGATTGTCATCAGTTGCATTTTAAGTGATCCAAATTACATAAAATTTTATAACATGTAACCTTTAACACACTTCAGAACAGTCAATGAATGCATATTTACATGTTCTATGTTTAACAGAGGAAACCGATATGTATATTATAAAACATGGGGCTTGTTTTTCCACTGTATGGATACGTACACATGTTTATTTGGATTTCTTAGGGATATATGTTCATTGGAGCATACAAATATATATGTATACACATGTGCATTGGGATGCAGGTTTCAGATTTGTTGTGGACTCTTTTCAATGCACTACCTGTGCTATGGTCAACAGTAAAGCTTTCCCTGGTTTAGGTGTAAGCAAAGCCAAGTCTGTTAGTAAAATAATTAAAGTTAAATCTACTCAGCTCATGGAAAATAAAGCATCACAGCCCCATCCTTCCAAGTATCAAAATTATATTTGATTGTCAGAAAAGTTCTGTGACAGTCTAAATGCAGTTTACCTTCAGAAGAATGACTGAAACAGTTAATCAGCAAAGGAAAGTATATCAAAGTATATCAAAGCACTTGCAATATTTTTCACAAATATTAGTAGGTATGTTTCTTCCATCTGTCCCATAATATTGTCCTATTCTTTACCACATCCAACTGCCTATTGCTCAAAGAGAAATTTCAGTATCGTTAATCTACGGCTCAATTCAAACCATTAACATCAATAGGAAGGTAGATTCCCATCTAGTTCATAGGCTTTGATGTGGCCTCATAGCCCTTTTGTAGAATATTTAAGGCAGTGCCTCGGTTATTTGAGAGATTATTTTAATTGTTTACTTGTTTGTTTTAAAGTGCATCAAAGCAACATGAAAGCATTAGAAAGATTCATGCTCTCTGTTTCTAGTCTATTGCTGTTAGGTCATTTTGACGAGCATGGCACCACAGGCAACTACACAGCAACCGATGCAAAATGCAAGCAACAGTATAAGCAAGTTTGAGAACCAAGGCAGGACTGGTGTTACTGCGTTTGTTTGAAATTTTCTGTTATATTTCTTAATACGAAGTTTAAAATTAGAGCAGCAAAGAGACACAGGACACAGAAAAAAAACCCATAGGGCATTCTGACAGCTTAGTTAAGAAGCAAAATCAAGTATCTTAGCCACCAGTAGAATTTAAAACTATTAGAAGTTTCAATAGTATTTCTGTGGGCAGGCAAGTAATTTCCAAGAGTGGGGCCAGCCTCTGACTATCCCTGGGATGGCCTCCTGAACACCATTTCTCGTGTCTTCCTTTCTCCGGCATCTTTTTTCGTGTCTCACCTGATAAAACTGCAAACCCTCCATTCCTAACTGTTTTCGGACTCCCATTTAGCCTAGTGGAATCCCAATCTAGTTTGGGATCTCTAGGTTCTCTGTATCACAAGCAATAGCAGTAAAAATAACAAAAGCCAAATATGTTCCACCACGATTATAGTTTTCTGAAGATAAACAACTAGCAGGAACACTCAGAATAAAATTACTTTTTTTTTAAAAAACTAGCAATGTATTCCAATACTTGAAATTTGAAACCCCCTTTTCCTTGTGCTAGTTATGTGCAGTAAGTGCTAAAGTCCTGAACTTTGGAAGATGCACTTGGAATCCCTACACAAAATTGTCAAAGAAAAAATTACAAGAAACAAATATAAAAATACAATAAAATTACATGAAACTATTCAGTTTCTAGATTGTTCTCTGTTCTGCCATTAATCACACTGAAAACACTGTCTATTCCTAAAAGGATAAAAAAATTAACAAGTATAATTTTAAAGCTAATGCACATAATTAACTAGATAGATTGCAGCACAGACTCAATATAAAAGTTATACTTTCTTTTCCAGTGACACACAGAAGCCAGATTTCTAAAGACAAATTTCAACACTGTCATTATTTTTCATGACCTTATCATTTTTCCCAAGGGGAATTCCTGCTGTTGAGATAATTTTTTGGATGAAATTACTTCTTGTATTATCCTTCAATTAAATACTAGAGTTTAAAAAATATTATTTTTTTTTTCAGGTCAAAAACCCATTAAAATCCACTAAATAATTCAGGTGATGAAATTGCTTTTATGCTACACAACAGCAAGAGCTATCAGTTTAAGGAATTATTACTTACTGTTCTTTTCTGCAAGACTGCAGATGGCAGGATAGAAGACAGTTCTGTGCTCAGTTCAGTATCCTAATGATTCTCACACAGGAACATTTTTGTTTTGTTTTCTTTTTAGGTTTAGCAGAAGGCTGTAGTGATAACACTGTGAATCAAAGCTTGGACTCATTGGCTCAGTGCCCTAATGGACAAGGATTACTCATTAACAATTCTTTCTTTGCGAAACTCTCCAAACAAGGGCTGTATTAAAATTTGAATTCCAACTTGACCATCAGCACAGAGATTTGAAATGCTCCTTAATACTTCAATCGGGGGCAGTGGGGAAGCTAACTCAAATTGCGAGGTGATAGTACTTGCTGCTGATTATAACACTTTTCTTGCATATGTATATTTTTATGACATTTTAAGCCTTCTTGTCTTTCCTACCCAAAGAGCTAAGATGTTATTCCAAGACATACCTTGATTTCTAAGTCCTTCTGTTACTCTTTACACTTTTTAGGGAGACTGAGCATTATACTGAGTACTGAAGCAGAATGGGCTATACATTACAGCCTCACAGGGATGTAGGGACATTAAAGTTTAGTTCCTGGATCTGCCACAGTCTCTAACAGACTGCATAATTTTAGATTCGAAAATGAGGCCCTTAACTTTAAATCTACTAGACTCACGCACAGTTTGTGCACAAGGGGAAGAAAATGGCAGCTGTAGATGGTAAACCTGAGTGAGCTGCACTGCATCTGAAATGCTGATCTCTTGCCACTGACAGAAAGGGGACCTTGAGTTACTATATCCCCACTTACCCGGTAGACGAATTTAAAGTGGAGTTGATTGAGGCTGTTCTGTTTCAACATCCCCCCTACATAGGAAGGGTAATAATTCCCTGTTTTGCATTGCTAAACAGATCTGGCAGCGGTGTTGAGACAAATTTCAGTCAGAGGTGACAGCTGACAGCACCACTCATGGTGAGTTCATGACTGCCACACAGTACATGGTCTCCATCCTTCCCTACATATTTACACTTGTCTGAGCAAGACTGAATAGACAGAAACACAGGCTGTGCCTCCTACCTGAGCGAAGAGAGGTATTGGGCAGCAAACACAGTCCTATCTAGGAGAAAGGTGAGAGTTGCTGGTCCTAAAATTACCAAGAGTAAAATTCCTTCACTTAGCCTCATCTTAAGAGAAAATAATAATACTTTTAAAAGGTACATTCATCCTCAATCTTCTATCAAGGAAACCATTTATTCTTCTGTTGAAAATATAATTAATAAAGGGTCTCTTTTTATGTGTCCTGTCCCTTGTGCATTAACCATCCAAACACTCGTGGTATAACAGGTTTCTGAAGGGATCAGTGGGAGAATGATGCCATAAGACTGTCCCTGGACACTAATACTCCCAAGGGGGTACTGTTTTCAAGGATTTTTGCCTACAGTTCATTCCAGCAGGCACTGGCTGTATGATAAATACATTTAAGACTAAGGCTCTCACAGTCCTCATTTCTGACACTCTGAAAGCCATCTCACGACTGTAAACACAGAGATTTTTATTTGACAAATTCATGCTTAGCAAAATTGACAAAGTACTTTCAAATAGGAGAATTCTTCCAAAACAACCCTACCCATAGAAGGCAGGTCTCCTAAACTCCAAACACGCCAAAACTCCCATCTGACACTTTCCAATATATGTCCACTCAGTGATACCTAGAAAACACATGCCCAAAAAATAATTTCTGAAGTCAATGATGGGTTTTGTCTCTTATCCAGTGAAAATGCAAAAGCAGAGCCAAGAAGTCCAACAAATGTCATGTCTCATCGAGCTTTCTGTCTCTTGGCTCGTTCTGCAGTTCTGAAATCTCTTTTTCAGCTCTCAGCTTCCTGCAACATTGGTCTAAGATAGTTGGTGGCACAGAGCATTGTTATTTAGAAGTCCCTAGAAACCAACTTTCAATAAAGGTTCTTTCCCAAAAAGCATTTTTCTCTGCCTGGATGCTGTTTGTCTGACAGCAAAGAGCTCACCACAAAAGAAATTGAATTTAATACCCCTATTCACCAACAAATTTGTGCATGAAAACATTTTTCCTTTCCTTACAATAATAAAGAGGCAAGTGTCAAAGTGGTGCTTTGTCCACTAATCAATACTTTCAAGACATTATTGGGAACAGCACAGAAAGAATCCATGTGATCAA